ATTAATAATATTTAAGTTTTGGTTCTCTCACTGTAGTTGGACATTGTTGAACACCCCTCCCCTGCACACCTCATGATTATATCTATGGCATTGGTACTACAGCAACACACAATTTCATTACAAGAATTTATCAGCAAACACACACTATTTCCTTACTTTGAGGTTGGTAGGACCTCAAAGGTAGGTACACTATCATACTAGGTACACTATGATACTGTACTGCACTAGGTAGACTAGAGCGGATTTCGTATGAGTGGGACACCGTTACCGCACGATTACCGCACAGTTACCGGACCTGGCCTGCACAATTTTGGTGAACCAATGGGGCACTAGAATTTGGTTACAGTACGATTACGGTTACAGTACAGTACCGTCCGTTTCCCACTCATACAAAATCCGCTCTATCACACTAGGTAGACTATGATACTGTACCGCACTAGATACACTATCCCACTAGGTAGACTATGATACTGTACTGCACTAGGTACACTATCACACTAGGTAGACTACGATACTGTACCGCACACGATACACTATCACACTAGGTAGACTATGATACTGTACCGCACTAGATACACTATCCCACTAGGCAGACTATGATACTGTACCGCACTAGGTACACTATCACACTAGGTACACTATCACACTAGGTACACTATGATACCGTACCGCACTAGGTACATTATCACACTAGGTACACTATGATACTGCACCAAGGTATCAGAGACAATGTGGTAGGAGCAAGATTGGTAAATACCAGGAAAAGGGGCAGGGTAGGAGGTGCAAGGAAAGTGGTAGGAACTGAACAAGGATGATGGTGGAAGGAGCAAGGGATGGTAGGAGGAGGATAGGAGTGGTAAGAAAAGTGGTAGAGGAGCAAGGAGGATGGTGGAGGGAGCAAGGGATGGTAGGAGGATGATAGGAGTGGTAAGAAAAGTGGTAGAGGAGCAAGGAGGATGGTGGAGGGAGCAAGGGATGGTAGGAGGATGATAGGAGTGGTAAGAAAAGTGGTAGAGGAGCAAGGAGGATGGTGGAGGGAGCAAGGGA